CTGTATTAATATAGTAAATATAAAAATACTTTCATTTAGTTTATACCCACAATGAGTATTGTTAAAGGTTTAATGTTACAAAATGTTTAAACGCCTAACACTTCTTTCCAACATATAAATCTTCACATGTTACTTGTTCATTACTTCATATATAACTTTCCTGAATAAATTCATAAAGCAGAATGTCAATATATGTTTGTCACCTAATTCAGATGTCAGATTGTTACAAAAATTCGTTTATCCGATACTTTAAATGTCATCAGTCCATAGTTCTCCATAAATAGAATTCTGCATATAAAATTCTCAAATTGTAAAAAGAGAACAGTACAAAGTCAATAAAAAATAAGTGGTCACATAATATATACCCAAAATTATTTTGCTATGGTGACTACAAGTTGTTTTTACAAAAATTGGTAACTAGTAATTTATATGCTGCAGAAATGTAAATTGTAGAGTAGAATTTGATCCCATGCCTTAGTAACTCGATGACAACGTTGTAAATTATACTCCTGTAAAATATGGTAGATGTCTGAGATCCAAGTTTAAATAATTAGTGTTCATTGGGTATAATCTATATTGAAAGTAGTAAAAACGTAAGAAGTTTTCGCATTATCCTTCAAACACGCATAATGTTTACGAAGTTTCCATAATTGTGAAGATTAATAATTAAATAGTTCCTATGTATGGATATATATATGTAGACCTTTATTCATAAAATCACTTTTTGTCAATTAAGTTCCTTCACAAAATTTGAGTAGCACAATTGCAGATTATTCTGGTGATATATGTCTTATTCTAACATAATTACTTTTATAAAGCCTCAAATAATGCAAAAATTGCAAGTACTCTTTTATGGTGACATCGTACCATCATCAACTTAGAAACACGTATGTACGAATACTAATAATGCACTAGTTAAAATGGTCTTTGATACAGGCATGACGTGCCTGTGCAATTTTTCTTCTTATTAGAAAGATAATTTACCAAGTGACTGGATATCGATTTCAGTCGTTGTTAAACACACTCTCACTTATAGACTAATTTAATATTCTTTTATAATGGTAAAGTACAAAGCTAAATGTACGATCAGAGTATATTACTTTCACCTTGGAAAACTATTGAATCAAATGAAATGACGAACTATGAATAGTATAGTATGACAATACAGTACTAACAAAAATTAATATATTACGTTGTTTTTAATATTTACATTTTTTTTTATGAATAAAACTTCCACGTAATTGGTTTATTTAAAATGCTAATTGACAATAAATATATTTTGCTTCCCTATATTACTGTATATTAGCGTAACAAAATTTATGAAATGACACCGTAAACATAAACTAGTTCTTCCATTTCTATGCGTTTCTTTCCTTGGAAAAGAAGTCTCTAGAAAGTGAAGAAGTCATACACTGATTCAAATATTATGTTTTCTTACACTTAAACGTCGAAAAATGATATGATTGTTTTAATAATCAACTTTTTAACGGTACTCCATTATTGATCTCTGGTTTCATTTTACACGTCTCAAAAGAATGTTGTCTGCGAAAGTTTACAGAAGTCGTCAATGTATCAAATTTATTAGTACTATTAATCATTCCGAAGAGATGTCCCTTGCAGTTAATACGCTCGCAAGTTTAATGTTCTGATAACTTAAAAACTGTATAAAAACACAGCAGTCTCTTATCAGCAAAATAATTCGCGATATTATGAAGTCAGATCTAATACGAAAGATATAAATTTGCGTTCTCTCTCACTCTCTCCCGGGCGCTCAACTGCATATCCCCCTTTTATCATTTTTGTCTACTCATTCTCGTCAATGTTCTTTTCCCTACGATATAAAACGTGAAAGATGATCGATAGCAAAAGTTGGAAAAAATGACTGAGGAATACAATGCGAACTATCGGAAAAATATAATGTTTTCTCGACTGATTAAAAAAAGTCATTATAATACTGCGACATTTTTAATAGCGTCTTCTCTTGTTGGGATAATCGTCCTGACGATTTCGATCACTTCCACCTTGCCAACGTCCACTACCACCACTACCTCCACGACCACCACCCATGTTGCCCATATCGACCCTCATATCCATCAAATCCATTATTTGACCACGATCGTCATTATAACCCCCTCGACTACCACGATCCATACTGTTATATGCATCCATGAAAGACTTTGTATCCTAATCATCATTACAGAGAAAGTCGAATTTCATTATTGTGCGTAAAATAAAAAAAAATAACGACATTTTGAAGTAGGGCGGTCGAAAGTTATGTGTCGATAATATCATTGAAGTGAATGCCAACGATTTCCGTTTACACGGTGAACAACGGTGTTTTGTAGCAGATTTTGGATGTACCATAAATACATTTCACGGTTCAGGGCGACCATCCATGTTTGACAGCAGCACAGGTCATCGTCAATTTTCGTCAAATCACATAGAAAAGAAAGGGGAAAACACAAGGTTAGATGTTGTTTGCACGTACAACATTAGTAAAATCGAATGCGTGAATAATACACGCGCTAAAACAAATGATATACGTATAAATGTTACACTGCTTTCAGAATATGCCGGTTTCTCGACATCCATTAACCTTATTAAACCAAGCAAATGCCCAACATAAGACTGACGGTGATTATTGTCGAAGTCAGTAGGATCTGGTGAAACAGATTACAGTAGCCTGCAGAATATTGCATATGGTCTACTACTAAAATTAGTTGTCATTTTCATAAATCACAATTTAAGGCTGAATTAGAGTCAGAAAAAAATTGTTGACTTGGTGCTACCTTTAGAATTAAGGTAGACATAAATACATCAATAGTTTCCTATTATTCAAATAATTTAACTAAAAAATGTTCAGAATCAGCATCCAATATCCTAATTTCTTTGAACTGTTTGAAGTTCTAGTTTACACAGTGGGTACATTTTATACAATATTGTTAAGTAACTTTGGACATAAGAAATTATTACGTATAAAATGCCTATAGAGAAGCTATTTAGCTTCTGAATTATGTATGGTGTTCTCATTATCGATAAACCTAACACATTCATAAAATATTTCAAGAACATAACGCTTTACTGTACACAATACAGTATTTCATCAAATCAATCATATTGATAGCATTTTCAGTGGGAACATTGCAAGAATTGTTTACTGTTCCTTTCAATTGTAGGGTTGATATTGTTAGAATTTTGCACAACTCTGAAGTTTAGGTATGTATGTAAGTAGCAAAGAGGCGTGATCAAGGTCTCTAAGCAAACTTTAGACAGTATCTACACCACAGAATTGTACATATATATGTGATAGATATTTAAAACAATATATTATAGAATAATATACATGGAAATCTCCATGAAGATTAGTATGATGTTAAAAACCCAAAAACGTATTCCCCCTAAAATCTTCCCTCCAATATATTGTATAAAATTATCGTTTTAAATTATTTATTGTAAATTAGAATTTATATTTGCTGTACTCAGAAACTATAATTAAATTACCCTTTACCTTTAAACAAATTATTATATGCAAAATATAATACTGTTGTACTTAAATGAAAAAGTTTCTGAATACAGCTGATTATATTTGATTAATATTCAATATAGTTGGGCATTTGTTGGTTAATAAATATCAAATCATTACTATGGAACTATATATAATGAAAAATAAATTTTTATAAACGAAGAGATTAAATTTAGTTTAAACGTTCGAATTTCTACGTGTATGAAAAAAAATATTAGTTCCATAGTATGTAACACCTAATCCTTAATGTAACTAGAGAAAATAGAAAACAGAGCCTCCTGTCTGCAAGCATATGGAGACACCAATGTGGCATGAAGAATACAGTTTTGGTTTTAATTGTATTGGTAAATGCCTAAAGAGTATCCCATAGAATGTTTCAGTTTTGTTCAATTTATGAAGGCTATATTCAAACTGAATATACAAGCTCTTCGTATTTTATTGTATGCTTCAATAATTTAGAAATTTGTCCTTTATTTCCCTAAAGCACATTTTCAATCAATGTAATACAGAACGATTTCCTAAGATAATCATAACAATATAGTTATTGTTGAAAATAAAATTTTCTTCGGTTGAAGATGTTCAGAAATTAGTCATGTGTAGTACATACAGAAGTAAACGATTCCTATTCAAAGGTAAATGTACTGAAATGTCAGTACAGTTTAAATATGAAGAATTTAAATACGGAAAGACGAATTTGTCAAATGAAACCTTAACCTACCTAAATAACTTATATTTTGTACAGTTTATAAAGTCCATAAAAAATCTTTATCATTTTCTTCATATTTTAAATATTTGTACCCTGTAATATTTGTGATTAATTTCGTAACTTGGAACGTTTTTAAAAAATTATTATGATATAATTAAAATTACCCCAACAAGCATTGTATGTGTCAAGATATTGAATCAATTTTTAAGTAAAATTGCTTTACAATAAGCCAAACCGAAAAAGCATCAATAATTTGATATCTCTATAATTTTTATAATCGTTTTAAATATAGGAGACATGCCACATCTGCTTCTAATAAAAGCGCAGAAACTTTTAATATAAGATTGCGGTAATATGCCATGTATAAACGTATGCCAAAGGTTTGAAATTGAAGGTTAGCAATGTTTTCCCTAAGATACAAATTATAATACCTTATTTTCATAAAGAGAGAGTAGTAAATTAATTTAAAATGCAGCATCTGTTCACACTATAAGAATGAGGGTCCCTCGCAAATAGAAAATTTTAATGCCCATTGAATTCTCCACATGTTATAACCAATTAATTAAAATGAATAACACGAAATATACATTGAACTTCAAAAAGATAGAAATAAAGTTGGCATTGTTGCAGACATTAGAACTCTGTTATTTCGGAAAGCATGCTTTTCATGGGAATAATCGTAAAGAAGTCCTTCCGCGCATCTTTTTCGCAAAATTTTCACTAATAATACTGGTTCTTTTTGTCATGCAAGAACACAGTTCAATTTTTCTATGAAAAAATTCCCGCACATAGACGTAACAATTTCTTCCATAGTGCCACCAAATAGAAACACATAAATGAAAAATCAAATTTAAATATTTTGAGAAAGAATAAATAAAATGATAAATTAAAGGGATACATTACCACTGGCATGCTGCTTCCACCTGTAATAAAGTACAATTTACGATTAGAACCTACATTAACTAAACACGTATTACAATTAGTTTTATAAAAATAATAAGTACTTGAAATTCACAATAAAAGTACTTCAGATTATACTCAATATGTAACAAAACTACACAAAACCAACATAAAGTATTAATTTTTTAAAAAAAAATTATTAAAGAATAACGCTTTGCAAAAACATAAGATATATAAAGTGCAATTTTTATTTTATTATACATTTCTATGTTTTAAACTTACCATCCGGTTGACCATATCCATCGCGGTCACTATTACTAACGGAATCGTAATTTTTTCCTCCCATTCCACCTCCGCCTCCGCCACCGCCCCTCATTGCTTGCTCCTTAAATTTAAAGGGAACATAACCCTAAGCATTATTAAGAAACATAAATAAGTTGATAATTAATAATTATAAATGGTATCTCAGTATATTATGCATTTATTGTTATTTATTTCTATGATTACAAATATTAAATGAAAGAATAGAAAATAAGTGCACTGTATAAAACACAAGGAAAAATACACCACGTAATATAAAATATAGTTTATATTTTAATAATTCTAGTACTTAATATATTCATTCATCCTTGTAGTATGAAAATGTGAAATTACAATTATTAATCTTAAAAAATTTGTAGTTTCGATATTTTTTCTTATTGAAACAAATTAGCTAGTTACCTGCATGAACAAATTATTTTCTTGTTGGCGCCTGTGTAGTTCCTCTTCTTGTCTTCTTATACGCATTGCCATTTCTTCTTGCTGTCTTCTCCGTAATTCTTCTTCACGTGTTCTTTGTTCTTCAGCTTGCCTTTCTTTCATTTCCCATTCTCTCTTCTGTCTCTCACGATCAGCTTCACGCATGCGTAATTCTATAATCGAACAAAATTAATTTATAAGAATATATCATTTATATCATAAGAATCGGAGTAAAATTTTTCAGCCATTCCAAATGCTTACGTTCTCTTAACAATTCAGTTTCATGTTCATAACGTGCAAATTCCATTTGAGCTTCCAATTTTTCTTCCTCCATTGCCATTTCTCTTTTCAATGCTTCTTCCTTTTGTTTATACAATTCATGAAGTTGCTTCCACCGTGTTCCATACTCATGTTCAAAGCTTCCAATTTGTGCAAATCTTGGTCCAATATCACGAGCTTTAAAAAATTCTGGATTTTTTCGAGGCAAATTTTTATCTGGATATCCGTCGACGTCATCTTGTTGTTCAAATGGTTCAACAACCACTGGACGTAAAGAACTGTAATAATTATATTTTATATTTCAACAGTAATTTTTTTTCTATTAACAAAATTGTATTTTAACTTAAATTTTGTATTCCAATCTTTGGCACACAATACAAACACAATTATTGTACCATGCTTCCTGTAGGAATTATTATTTTACTTTTCCCCAATCATTAATTATTGCTAGGCACTTGTTGATTAATTAAATACGTCGAACAAGCGTGGCGATGGGGTGAATGATATTTATATTTTTTGCAGAAACTTACGCAGTTAAAAAGTAGCACCCTTCCGTGCATTTTCGTAGAGCAAGTTGGGCTGATGGTTTCCTGCAGAATTCTACAATTCCTTCTCCGGTAGATTTTCCTCTATCGTCTACTATAACTATAGCGCGTTCGATTTCACCAAAAACACTAAATGCTCTTTCAAGCAGTTCATTTGAAATCCAAGGTGTAAGATTTTTAATTTTAATCGTGGAGGAATGGGGAGCAAAACGTACTTTAAGTGCACGTCCTTTGCGCATTGTACCATCTAATTCATGTTTCGCTTTTTCAGCATTTACTCTGTAATCCTATAAAATACAACTAGTTAAATTATGGAGCAATGCAATATATGTATAGATGTAAACATAAAATATAATATCATATATATAATGATGCAGCCAAGTGTTATTATCATTTTTGTCAACCGGTAATTATTATAATCATTTTTTGTGTAAAACAAAAACAAAATGATAGCACAGAAAATTATTGAACTTACCATCCTGAGAAATGCGAAGTTTTTTTCCTTATTAACAAAAAGCTCAGATATTTCACCATACTGTTGGAACATCTGTTGGATTTCTTCTTCTGTAACATCATTTGTCAGGTTTCCAATGTACAAACGATTACGACCGCTGAATTTCTTTTCTGTGGTTTCTTGGGGAGCTAGATCATGAGTAGGCCCACTAATAGCCATAATGCGTTCCATTAAACGATCCTAATCATGAAAATAAGAGCAATATCAATTTATAATTACTTACATTTTATTTTGTTAACATAAATTAACATATTAAGATTTAATTTATTTGTTTAAACAGAGTAAACACTGCTTACATCTTGTGAACGATTTCCCATGTTCCTGTCACCACCTCCTCGGCCTCCTCTACCACCACGCATTCCGCCGCCACGTCCCATACCCATTCCTCCTCCCATACCACCACCACCCATTCCTTCATTCATAGGATTATCCATGCCTCCATCCATAGAATCGCTCATCTTCATCTATAACATTTTTAATAGAAATAACATTAAGATTTCATAAATTTAACAATAAAAAACTATCAAATTTATAAAATTGAGCATAATTTTTATCGTAATTCCGTATGGGTGCATACGCTTCACACTAATCTTTCTATTTAGGCTATTTTATTTTTTTTCGTATTTTAACGTATGTATCAACGACAATAATTCATCAGAAGAAATTCTACATTCTTTTGTAATGCATTATAAATATATTATTATTAAGAAAAATAACGTAAACGACTTATGCAGATTGTAAACTCAACTTATGAAGGAATATGATTAAAAAAATTTTTTAATCTAAAAAAATTGTATTACTTTTCTCCTGAAAGATAATAAGCTACAATCAAGTCAAGGGGTTAACTACCTTGACCGGTTAAAAAAAAATCGATTTTTTTTGTTTTCATAAATTAATACTTCAGTATCTTAAAGATAAAATACCATTTAGCCTATGTCCAAGTTCCAACTGGAAATTATCCTAATTTTATGAAAATGGAAGTGCTGCGCAGCTTTACACATCTCCGGAATTTTTACAACTAATTTTTACAAAATTTTGGTTACATATCTATAAATACGTACTATATCATCGATATTTTAATTTATACTTGAGTTATATAAAAATAAATGGTTACATTTCCGCGTAAAAAGTTTTTCTTTTTTTAAATACCGCTATTTTGTTATTTTTCAATTAAACAAAAGAATCCTAAATCAGTGGATGAACGATGTAGTTTTATTTAATGTTTCATTCACCAAAATTAATTTCAAGATCCTGTTAACCACCCAGCCATACACACCTCGTGGTATGTTATCGATCTCAATCTTTTTTTTTAAAGAAAATTGAAAAAATTTTTTGTATATTTGGTTTTCTCATCAATTAAATTGTTTTTTTTTTCATTTTCAAAAAAAGGGTTTTTGTTCAAAATAAGTTCTCAAGGAACCTGTATTATTTTTCGGACATATCAAGATAGTGTAACCCCTTAAAACCAAATATAATAAATACAATAAAAACAAATAAAATACTTCATCTACATATAACCTACACATTTTTAATTTGTTTCCAATGAGATAGTTTCGTAAAACATTATTTCACACTTTATAAATAAGTAATGAAATAAAATTACATAATTAACTCAATAGGAATTGCTTAATATTATTTTTTCTTAATGTACATAAGTTTTTTCTGAATTTTTATTAACACAACTACTTAATGTACAGATAACTTTATCATTTTTGAATAATTCCTAAATTTTAAATCCATATGGAAATTTTAGTTAATTTGCATACGACGTTTAATACAATTAAAAAAAAATTCCACTAATAAAGAAATTTAATGTAGCTGCATAGTAACTAAAAATTTTTAAACCACGTGTTGAGACGCTAAGCACGCTTATCCGCCATCTTACGTTTCTACACGCCATTTTGTAAATACTCTAGCATGAAAAATCGATACCTTAACTATTCTCTGTATTTATAAATATTTAATAATTTTATCATCTTCAAAAACACTTTACCCTAACTTTTACTTACAGCAAAATTAAATATATTTTATTGTTTTATTATCTCATTATTCATGTTATGATTATTACCTTATTAACAATTGCATATCATTTAGATATGGAAAATTAATATATGTAGTGTGATAAATTAGTACCGTCGATCGAGAAATGTTAACATTGCTTTAATACTTAAAACAGTACTAAAAACAGTACTATTAAACTGGTGATTTTCAAAATATATTTATCTTTACTTCGAGTAAATCTATATTTAAAATATTTATCTATATACTTTTCAAAAATAGTCATATACAAGGTATAATATATCATGATGGTTAAACTTGATTTTATATGCAATAGCAAAGGTACATTACGAAGTATACATCATAAATAGAAATTATAACTCTATTAGAACTAGAAATACTTAGTAAATTCAAAAGATAGAACTCTAAAACTTGTCGAAGTACTGCGCATCAGTTGGAACAAATATGGCGGTAAGAACAAGGAACGCCAACTCTTTAAGATGTAGATAAATAAAAATATGTAAAATTCTTACCGGTCCATCATTATTCCTGTTTCCTCCGCCCATTCCGCCGCCACGTCCGCCAGAAAAACGTGTTCCTCCTTTTCGTCCACGCGGGCCGCGATTACCGCCGCCGCCACCGCCGCCCGGTGGATTACGTTCTCGTGGATTTTCATTACTGTTTTCCGCAGAAGCGTTCTGCGATTCTTGTTTTACGTTTGGCGATTCGGCTCCTGCCATCATTCGCTCAAAATAAATCTAGACTCGTTTCAACTAGCGATCACCGAGAGGAAAGTTTCTCGTGAATAACGAGCTTAACTCACTCTCGACCGTCTTCGAAACGAAGCGTTCGCTATGGCGTCCGACAACGAAGAGAACGATGTCTTAAAGTGGAGACTTAGTAGAACTGTCTCCCACCAAAACTATCATTTCCGGTGCATTATGGGTGTACTTTCCTAAGAGTACGATTGGTTACTTTAATTAACAACGAACTTACTTGATTGGTTAACTTAAATAAATGCAATGTTGCCACATTTAACCAATCAAATTAACCGGAAGTGATGCTCATAAATAGAAATTTTATTGAAATAAATTGTATTTAATATTTTGTAGCATTTATTTGTCTTATTAATATTAAACTAAGGCATATTTCAAATTTTAATTAATTAGAATATACTGTGGTATTTAATGTAAGTGTACATTTTAAAGTTGTACTTGCATTTTCCACATGGACTATATCTTACTCGGACTTAAAATAGTAATAAATACTTGTTAAATATTTAGGCATAAATTAATAATTAAAAGAACATTTCTTGATCATATAATGAATAATATCCTGTAATAATTTAAACATTATAAAATAAATGCTTTGTTACAAGAACAATATTCATTTTAATTTTTTGTTATATTACGGATGTTAGTTTGATTTTTAATTTTAGATACAATAACTATCAATATGCGGAAACGAATAATTCTAAGTGACTCTAAATTAAGTATTAAAATTATTTGAATATTTAATTTGGTATTCTGTTATAAACTAGAGTAAATCGGAAGTTTAGTAATTTTAATGTCAATTTTGCACTAAAGATGGAATTTCGTTGCATGAGATGTCTACCATCTTCATAACATTTATTCTATGGCATGCTTGTCAATGCGGATAATCGCAACGTGAATTCAGTGTAATTCAATCATATCGATTCGTCGAGAACAATTGCGACGTATTGCGTCTGTGAGTAATCACAAAAATTTTTCGTAAAAAAAATATTGGTCTGGATTTTCAAGTAAATCTTGCTAGGCCTGTGGATTTTTTCCAATTCTTAAGACTTAGTTTATTCAAAGTCGTGTGTACTTTCTCATATTTAATAAAAAAGTGCTATTCATATTTTAATTCACATATGTATATTTCATTTTTCAGGCAATAGTATGCAAAAATGTTGCTCACTAAATTGTGTCGAAGTGGTATTTCACCAAGTTTAGTCAACTTGGTAAGAACTCCGGTTAACTCGAAACCATTTATTTCAAGGATTCAAACTTCGAGATTATTTGCTAATGATGGACGAAGTACATTTGCAAGAACCTCTCGTAGATCAACTACTATTACGGAGCGAGCGATGGCTCCTGCAAAAGATACAGGTAAAACTTTGAATTTGTAATGAAAATACCAATACTGAAAGATACATGCAATATGATGCAATCATAGCTATAGGTATATGTTTTGAAAATATTTGATACACATGCTTCACATATATTAGTATCCTTAATGAATTCTGGAAGTACTATAAAAAAATATTATGTTCTCATTATTAATTTGTAAAGACAATGTGCATATATTTTTTCATGCATTAATTTCTACATGTTTATATATAATGTGTCTAATAAGTTCATAAACAATCCTATTCTTGAGTATATTGAATGTATTATTTTCAGTATAGTCTTCTTATTAAGTTGCACACTTATTTCAGTGTGGTTCTCTTAATGGAAGACATTTTTGTAATTCCTGATAATAATAAGAATTGCAATACAGTTAATTAAAACCATTGAATAAAATATCAAACTTATTGTTAAAAATATTATTTTTATACTTCTAGCATTCAGTATTGGAAAAGGAGCTGTTGCTGGTGGCGCTGCATTAGCATTGGGTTCTTTATGTTATTATGGTTTGGGTTTATCACCATCTATGGGAGCCATAGATTATGCTAGGTAACTTTTAACTGATATTGTGATTATAAGGATATTGCTGATAACTAGGTAGACATAAAATGTTATAAAATATATAATCTTTTATAGGATATGGCCCCAATATGTGAAGGATAGGATTAAAACCACGTATATGTATCTTGGTGCTTCAATAGTAAGCAGTACTACAGCTGCAGTACTATGTTTACGCTCACCATTTGTCATGAATTTAATGATGCATCAGGGATGGGTTGCCATGTTGGTAACTATTGCATCAATTTGGGGTACTGGAATACTGTTACAAAGTATACCATATAAAGAAGGTTTTGGTTCAAAACAAATAGCATGGTTAATCCATACTGGTACTGTTGGTGCAATACTTGCACCTCTGTATGTATTTGCTGGACCTTTAGTACTTAGAGCTGCATGGTATACTGCTGGTGTAGTTGGGGGTTTGTCTCTACTTGCTGTTTGTGCACCAAGTGAAAAGTTTTTGAACGTAGGAGGGCCATTAGCAATTGGTTTAGGAGTTGTGTTTGCAAGCAGTGTGGGATCAATGTTTTTGCCACCTACCACAGCTTTTGGATCTGGTTTATATGCAATGTCCCTATATGGTGGTTTGATACTATTTTCTACACTCCTTTTGTATGACACACAAAAGATTATTAAACAAGCAGAAATGTATCCAACTCATGAATATATGGCAAGACCATATGACCCAATTAATAAGTAAGTAATTTGAATAAGATTCTGTAGGAAATGTGAAAAATACATATGTGAGTCTATATGCTTTCACTATTTTTATTTCAGCGCGATTTCTGTGTATATGGATGTGGTGAATATCTTTGTAAGAATTCTTACAATTTTGTCCAGTGGAGGAAATAGAAAACAAAAGTAAAGCTGGAGAACTTTTTTTCTAGTAGAGGAACACAGGAATTATAAAGTTTCATTTTCATTTTATGATCTAGTATTGAATTTTAAATGAATTTACAATAAATAAGCTGTAAATGGATAATCTACTTTTTGTTATATTATTAGGTGATGTAATGTAAATTATTAGTTATTTAAAAATAAAGTATAAGATGTAAAATAATTAAACTTCTTTTTTGATGTGCAAGTTGGATGAATTCATAATTCAATTGTTAGCGATAAAATTAAATGCAGTTTATTGTCGTTTCTCAAGCATACTGTTTGAGAACAAAGGAAGGTATGACTACCAAGTTAATCATAGGTATTTTACAAATGTAAGCTAATCACTTAATTTTAAATCGAGGTACGGTGAAAGAGTTTTTCGATGTGGTGCAATTGATACTGTGCACAATGTTAAGGGATAGTGCCGTAGGTGTACGAATAGAGTTAACGACGTACCATGCACGACTTGAGTACGTTTTCAGATTTTGTTTTAAACTGTGTTACAATTTTCACACAAGTATCAATGAAATGTTTAGCTTATTTAATTTCATGAACTTGAAAACTATGTGAAATGAGTTGTTCTCAATAGGTAGTAACAAGTGCTATCACACTGCAGATAATTACATTGCTTTAGCATGTACTCGTACTTACTTATACATGATCACCAAGGTTCACCCTTTCAAGCTAAAATTAATTTTTCCTAAGAAAATAAACTTTTATTAACAAAAAACTTATTAGTAGGCAGTAAAAGTAGATAAATGCAAATAAGTAATATAACAGTAGCGTTTTTCTTAATATTTCTTCGTGAATCAATAACAATGTTTAAACTATATTGAAATTTATATGTCGGAAAGGTCAAAAGAATACATAAAGAATTTGTGATTTTACACGAACGCATGATTAAAGGAGCACCTTGAGGAGGTTCTTTAAATTTCTTATTGCCTAGTTTATCACTGATACGCATTTTACCTGATATTTTGTTTCATTTACAGAAGTTTTTTGATTCACGTTTTCGATTTAAAAAACATATTTTAAACTTATTTTCTGGTGATTTGTCTTGAACAGTACAATATATTTTAAAATCGTCCATTTTGTATTCCATACTATATGGTATTGATAAGTACAATATTCAAGCATTATGAGGTTACACGTTTATGGAGTCTGACTTCGCGGCTAATGACGATGAAGAATGCCTTCTAAGATAACCAGCGAATAGCTGCCTTGCTTGATTCAGCACTCGAATAACATTGTGTCGGCGGACCATTTTATCAAAGTGCATAGCCATTTCGTTGTAATCCATTTGATTACGCATAACGAAGTCTCTATGTTGAAGTAGTAGGGTAATGCACAGGAACATAAGAAATGGATTACCACCGCCGAATTCGTGAGGTGGAGGCAAAGAACTTTCTCCTAATTGATCCTCACAAGTTCCCGCTGGAATGAGATTCGTAAGCTCTGTAGCTTCCTCACAATGTTCTTGTACAGGTTGTTTTGTTGGACTTTCTGGTACTGTTGCATTTTGATGCCAACTTTCTGTCTCCTCACTATCTGAAGCGGATTCGGACCTGTGCAATTTTATCATTTTTATTTCTATAATTATACTTTGGAATATATATCGCAACTTTCTAGAGATTATAGTTTATACCTGGTAGTACGTTTAAGCAATCTAATTGGGGTAACTGATTTAACACCATTCTGATCCTCCAATATTTCGCCATCATATTCGAGTTCCGCTTGTTCATCGGGAGTAGCTGGATGAGTCTTTTGTTGCAACGTATGCAGGGGATTCTCCCATACGAATACATCCGCAGCTGGACTACACCTTGCTAATTCTGTGTCAGTTTCACTATCAACTAAATCGCTTTCCCTCTTAGAAAGAACACAATCACATTGCTGATCGCTTGGTGGCGATGGTCCGAAGACTTGCCGATCGAGTGATTCTAGTTCCAGTCTTAATTCTCTAGTCATTGAAGTAGTCATTGGAAAGAAATCTGTTGCATCGTCGGGAGAATTCGGTTCGTCTCTTAAAACTCTGATAACTCCGCTCTCACTTGAAACGCGCCTAAAAGATACAACATTTTTTAGTTACGAAACTGTTTTTATTGCTTATTTAAAAAAAAAGTATGAGTATTTTCCAATTAGTGTTTGAAAACATATCGTTTCACCTTAATTCTGGTTCGGCATCGCTTGGTGTTACTTTACTACGATTTAGACTGGTAAAATTCAAAAATTCATTTAAATTCTTTACTACTCGAGCGCATTTCTTTTCGCCATCATTCTGCTCGTTATTTTTATATTGATCTTTATTAGGTAATGCCAGTCTTTCTTTCAATTCCAGCAGGTTTACGCGTTTAGATTTACCAGACAAGGAATCTGTACTTAGGCACTTTTCCGTCGATTCGGTGTTCCTTCGATTCTTCACTGTAGTCAAATCATTTTCTGGCTCAGAAAACGTCTCGTAAGGAGAGCTCGATCTGCAGATAGTGATTTTCATTTTACATTAATATTTTTATTTCACTGCTGTTATCGATTTGCATAGAAGTACCTTTTTGAGTCTCCGTTAGTTTCTGTAGAGTTTTGCAAAGATGGATCCTCGTGGTTTAGAGTTTTTCTCTTTCCAGCAGCGGCGATACTTGCGGAAGAACTTTGTCGTCTAATAGCACAGACTTTCGTGTATGCGTTCTCACGAATGTGTTTTACGTTTGGACTTGGCGGTGGTGAAGGTGGAGGAAAAGGTACTTCTGCTAAACTAAGTTCTCCGTTCGGTGGTGATGCTGGCAAAGCGGCCCACAGAACTTCGAGCATTCTTAAAGCGTCATCCAAAGCAAACTCTCGTTTCATTTCCAATAAAAGCCATCGATAGCAAAACAATAGATCGTCCGCTTGATGAGATTTTAGATAAGCATAGAATTCAGGATCGTAATGCAGCAAACCTTAAAAAATATAGGCATTATATAACGATTAATAAAAATGCTGCAACATACTTTTTGTTATTGCTTTAAATTTAGAAAAATTATACACTGTTTAAATCAATTAGAAGATTTACTCAAGGTTTATTCAAGTGTCTGAAGAGTGCTTGTATATACTCCAATATTACTAAATCGACATGTTGGCTGTCAATGTATCACTGTTGATATATAATGTCCTATATCCCTCTTCGTAATTTATTTAACATGAGTCAAATTTGTCTATATCTTAATTTTTAGTGGCTACTCATGCCATACATATTCATTACTTATTAATATTTTATGCACTAACTCCTGCCATATTTGGTTCATTTTTATAGATTAATTATAGACTAAAATTACAATTTCTTAATTATATCTATAGCATATTATATTTCACATACCTTCAGCTAAATGGGCAAATTTAGTGGTCATCGCAATTCCATCCAGCATAAAGTTATCTTTTAACCTTCTCATAAGGGCGCATAAACATATATACGCTTGTGCTTCGTCTCTCATGGTAACCAAAAGTGGCGAAGCCAGATCACTCATACCTTGACAATAACTGACACTTGGATGATTTAAAGCGTACGTAGTTAAAATATTAAAAAGACTGGCCGTATTCTGATTATCGTCGGAACCACCATAAAACTTATGATGTCTATCTGTTCTCAAAACGTCTTTCCGTACCATACTTGTAACATACGCTAAGTCTCCGACATTTTGCCCCTTTTGCACGAGGGTTTTCCACCTTTCTCGAAGATTTTGATATTCTTGCGACTTTTTCTTCATATAATCCATTCTCTCACGACCAGACAAACCTTCGGGATATACGTTCAAGATGTGTTTCCAAACTACTTTGCGCAAACTAGGCTCAATTCCACCAAAGTAAATGACAGCTCTTAATTCTTTAGGATGTATCACTTGTCCAATGGGATCCAAAAACCGTCGGAACTCCGCATCTGTCAAAGGTGGTCGTGGTGGTTGAGTGCCTTGTTGGTGCGATGATTCCTCACCCAAGTTACCTAGAGCACGTTGAACCATATTCAACGTTCTCTCCATCTATAAGAAATACATACAAGTTACAATATGCTTTTATTTTTTTTGTAGTATAGAAGTAAGTGTGTAATTAACTGTGTATATATAACATGTACTACTTAAAATAAAGACAATTATCTTTTTGCATAATTTAAATTAAGGAGAATGAATTAGTACAACAAACAATTTTGCATTGCACATATTTCTTTTAATATTAAATACAATACAATCTATACTGTACTGGATATTTTCAAAAGTAACCTTTGCTGTTAATAAATCACGAAAAATATGTACTTTGTTCTTTCAATAAATTACACTGTGGCATAGAAACCTTGTCTCTTATGAAACTTAAAAGATCTCATGAATATTTCAATGAACACCTACTTTATTATAAATATTCCAAGACTTCATCATTTACGTATCACTTAAGATATATGAAAAAAATTGTAAAAAAAAGAAAAAACAAGAAAAGATAGCTAAGGAAGTGACTCCACTCACTTTATTCATTATGAGACCCGGTAACTTAGGTGTCTTGTATGGAAACCCGGTTTCTTGCCGCGTCGACACTTCCTGTGCATTCTGCTCCCAGTAACACTCGCAGTCACCTGTTTCTCCGAACGGCTTAAGGTTGACTTGAAGGTATAGATATGGTTCAGAAGCGCTAAAATAAAGTACACTATCGGTTAAAGCACTGAAGTTTTATCGTTTATCATTTCAACAAGTAAAGTGTTATCTGGAAATTTACCTGATGAACGCTGCATCCAGGTCCCAGTCGGACAACAGAAATAAGTATGTTTCTGATCCATAGTCGTCTATTGCTCGATAAGAAACTGTGAATTCTCTGCGAAAATTTTTAAGAAAATTATTTTTCTTTTTATCACAAATATATTGCACTCAAGTGCATACAATTGTTAAGTGGATAAATAAAAATATAAAATGTAGTTATTAAATTTAAGTTATAAATCTAATTAGCGTTTATAGAAGAATAAAGGAATCTGAATATTGTTTTAGAAATTCAATTTTTCATACATAACATTTGTATAAATTATAAGTTTCATTTTATATTATATTTATTTATATTTATAATTGGTAAGTGTGTAATGCTGGAGCTTTTCAAATTTTCACTCAGTCAATTAAGTTTGCTTTCATAATTTCGAAAAACACACTTGTATCCTAGCCAATAAATGATTCATAGAAAAAAAGATAATTGCACAAGCGATTAACGAGTCATATATTAGCCAACTTAACGTCCAAGTGAAAAATAAAAAAAAAAAGATGTATTTCAAGGCTATCGTAATCGAAGGCAAATTGGTATTCCTTGCGATTCACTTTACCACAGGCTAACAATGATTTCTAATTTATGCGCATGTATTGTACATATACATAACGTAATACATATAGAATACGTATTATTATACACTCTCGATAATTAAAAGGTGTTTCTCTTTTCGAAAGCAACAGGAATGGAATGTAACTTAAATTTTCGCGAAAGTAATGTAAAGGCTGGATTCTTCAACCGAGAAATAATGAATTATTATATTTATCGTAATTCTATCACTGTGATAATTGAACACAGATTTCTTTCTCATCGTAATAATAATTGAACGCAATGTAAATAATATTAAAGCGAGTAAACGTAAATATCTACGTTCTTCAATGCTTAGACTAAATATTAACTTTCCGATAACAATATCGTGCATCAACTAACAAAACACCTTTTTTCAACGTTTACAATAATTTCACAACGATTTACATGTGAATGGGTGAGAAGAAGAGGGGAAAGTATTCTATTGGACTGATATAAAACTGATTATAGCTGCTTATTTACTGTAATTACTTTAATCCTTTTACTGCTGTTGGCGAATCTTCGCACACTTGCACAGGGCAAAAATTAAGGATTAAATTAAGGTGAATTTCCACTTTAATTTAATAAAATGAGAAATTAAAAAAAAAATTTAATACGTTAAAATAGAAGATTTTTTGCCACAACGAAAAGGTTAAAATTCTGAAATCCAATCGTCAAAACATCAGTTTGAGGGAGACAAGGAACTTTAGCTATGTTCAAGGCAATACGAAGTCAACTTGCATCAATTTTCCCATTCAAGTATTTTTAAAAAGTGATAAAAACAAAAAAAAGGTAGATGCGGGTCTATACTGATCTATTTAAAGCCGCCGTTTGGCCGCTAGAGGCGTTGGCTGTTCTTTTCGCTCGGTGCGTGCGACTTGAGATTTGGGGGACTTCTATAAGACGCGCACGACCCTGCGTGCGGCTAGATCAATCGATGTTATCGCCTAATGTGAAGATTTACGACTTCGTTATCTCTTCCACCGGATGTATACCTTGAAAACGTTGCTTATACCGCGAAACCATAATCTTGTAGAAAATACATCGATTTTGCGAGAGTTAGAAACGTTCAAGTAATTTTTCGCCCATCATAGTTCCGGTTCAGAGTGCTTTCTGACACGAGGAACAGATGGAAATTTTTTACTTTTCTAATCTAACGAAACGTGCGTTCGGTTTTTATTTTCATAGATAACGGCTAATCGCAGAGTGTCCAAAAGCAAATGAACGTTACATAACCGAAAGTTTTCCTATTCTGTTTACGGTACACTCGATGTAATACACTTGACGATTATTCCGTGTTAACATTAATACTATCTCACCCTTTGATGTCGAACGCTTTAATGAGTATACTTTGAAGCACTTCGATGGATGTTATCTGCGGGTCCACACTGAATTTGCGATACTCGGGCTGATGCCTGGTCTCGCATTTCTAAACAGAAATATGAAGAATCTTTAATTGATTTTTGTCTTTTTTTTTCTCAAATATCTTAACAAGAGTCTAGAGAAATTGAAGTATTCATAAGAGAGTTCTGCATATTTTTTGATCTGACAATCAAACTCAATTTCAATCAATTTAACAATTTCATTACACAATTCATCCACAAAGCTCGAATGTGTTTTCACCCTGAAGAGCCAAAAAATAGCAAAAATTCAATTGCGTGATACTTCTATTGACGTCCCCTACAAATTTGCAAAGTTTAAAAAAAAGACAACAGTAAATCGGAATTTTCGAGTTATCAAAATTCCCTTGTTAATGCGTTTTACCAATATACCCATGATATGCAATGTATCATGAAAGCCTGGGTGGATTGTTACAACAAGAAGTTACAGGTTAGATATCCCATATAAATCAGAGATCCATGGGGAGGTTAACTAATATTCTCGAAGTCGTGGGGATATTATTTAACGTAGAAGCCTCGGGTACGAGTTCCATTACGAAAGCCTTGGAATTTGATGTAACAACTTTGTATCTCCTTTATGTAAGTTGACAGTTGACGGTTGTAACGGACGTATTACGCAATCATGTTCCGCACGCTTTCCACCGCGACCGGTTGAACAAACGCGATCCGCTTCGGAAGACAATCGGCTAGCGGAGCATTTTTTAATTACGGCTGAAGAAATGTTTCGGACGACTGGTATAATCCATGCCCCCTAATGGTCCTTGTATTACCAGGCGGCCTTTTTGCAAGTCAGTAACCCATGGATCGATACAACCGAATTTTACCTGCACGTTAAAAAAGCCACTTTACCAAGCGACGTAAATGCCTACAAATCGTTTCAAAAGAGAGGGCGCTCAAGATCTTGTTCTCTTATAATTGCTGGAAGGGTAGGTTAAACTCGATTTTCTACCGGTAGGGGGAAAGTTTAAGCTAACCTGAGTGAATCAATGCAATTGGTTATACTTATCGATTGATTTATTCATTTGAATACTTAAAGCTGATCAGTGGTACCGGTATGAACAGTTATGTTGATATTAGTGAATTTTTATAGTTATTTACGTGCTATATAGATCACCAAGTTAAAAATATAAGGTTAATTTGTTAGTTGATATACTAAAGTGAAACGTGTATATTGCTATGGGTAGATTACCGTTAGATATTCGAAAGAATTGATTGGTTGATGTAAGAATATAAAGTTGATTATTAATTCACTTAAATGATTGAAAATTTCAATTGTTTTAAGTTAATTATTGAAGTTAGTAATTTTCTAAAGATTGTTCAGATTCTTGAAGATACTTAATGATTCATTTATCGTAAATAAGTTTCAGTGACTAGTGATTAAAAAATTGAGGATTCCCACTTTTTTTTTACTATTTCTTTTCTTTTCCTTTTTTTTTTTTTTTTAGCATAATTAGATTTCTTCTCTGTAACTTCTGTAACTAACGAGAAACGAACAAGCAGAATTTGTGTGGCAAGCTAATCCCTGTTATGCAACTAATAAATCAGGATCAATCTAATGCGAATCAAACAAATAGAGGGAATATGTGTTTTATCCAACTAAACACGCGACTGCTTACGTTAGTACGGGATTAACTTGTTACGAGATTCCAAGTTACCAACTCAGCAGAAAAAAATTGAAGATGTAACTACTCATTCTCAAATAGTAATACAATTTCCTTTTTCTTATAACGTATCTAAAGTTCTTCAGTACGATTGTCCTCAGTAATAAAATATGATAGTTTGAAAGAGTAGTCTAGATAATTTTTTTTTTTTTCAGTTCTTTAGTCGCGGAATAATTAGACAAAATACCAATACTGTTTGTTTAACGAATGAAAATTAGAAAAATTAACTGAAGATCGGGAAATAATCTAAAAACAAACGGAAGATATCTGTTTACGAGGTTAAAAAAGTGAAGAACATTGATCAGGTTGATTTATCAATTGATAAGTGTTTTGATCAAGGCTCACTTCAACTATACTAGTAAATATCGTTAATAAAATTCTATTTATAGACTTATTTTTCCTAAATTTTTCATCATTCTATGTATATTACGTGAACTTAAGATAACGAACTACATTTTGTTTTTAACACCCTGTAGGTTTAATACCAGCTTTTCACGGTTGATTTGATTGTATCTATACCGGGGAATCTTAATAGCTTCGAAGAACGATATGAATAGAAACGTGGCGTGCAAATGGTTAGTATCAATTGAGAGTTGTGAACTAATTTTAATTGTAACTCGTAAATTAACTATTGCTATCAATAATTAAGATACACCATTGATAAGATTAATCAGAAGTTTGGACAACTGATATTAAAATTATAAGTAGCACATCTTGTAAGATTTGATGAAATATATTATTTTTAATTATCTTTTTGGTTGCAGAAAAAAACGACCTTACGTTTAATCATACTGGAATCCATAAATAATTATTCAATGGCTAAAGGAAAATCTATTGATAATTTTGATATATTTCAAGCGAATTTTCATGTTTTTTAAACTCCACAAACTTTTATTACATACCATAGAATATAAATAATAATTATTCCCTTAAACAATTAGAAGCTAATAAAAAAAAAACAGTTGCAGGGAACTATAAACAATTTCATTTTTATTCTTGATCGTTTGTAAAGCAGTTTACATTGAAATACTCAATGTACTTTGAAATATGTAAATTAAGAAGATTATCATTATTTCTTCTTGCAATTATGTTAAATTCGAATAATTGGCAAATCGTATTTCACTTTTTAATTAAGGAATCTTGAAGAGCGGAATGGAAATTGAAGATCTCGTAGCCAGTCTCATAAGGGAAATTAAATTTCAGTACTATTTTTACAGTAATCCTAGCCTTGAAACGTTTGATCAGTGAACACACGAACTTGGAAACTTTTTTAATTCTCTTTTCTGTGCTAAGATTTTCTGTACTAACTTTAGATTTGCATCGCGCATTGGTGTCGTATTTAGAGCGAAACGAAGAACCGAATCGATGCTTGTTAGTCGCACGAAATTATGACGTTCATTTTAACAGAAACGGCGAATTGAAGTAACATTACAATTACACGTTTAATTGCTTAGCAACAACAATGACATGTATAATAAATTTTGTAAAAATCCATACGAATTAAAAGAAAAGAGAAAAGAGAAAAATACGAATTAAGAGAAAAAGATACATATAGAAATTATAAAAAGAAATGTAGCATCTGTATTAATGATTAAAAACAACGTTCAAAATAACTGTGGTTAAAACTAGAATTAGGTTTCAGTTGGTATTTAAACTGTTACATTGGTTATGTAAATGTTCTTCTAATTATATTCATTTCGATTCCGAACAAAAGCATCAGTCTGGCTACATTGTCGTTTAAATCCTCCATGGATGCATCAATGTTTAACGCGTTTTGTAAGAGAATATTAACACGTGTGGTGCGAGTTTTGTGGCTTTGATATCAGGTATTACAATGGAATCCGTTAATATTTTCAATTTAAAAGGGAATATAAATTTAATGGGGGAAAAATATTCTCAGCATGAAGGATATGAATGTAAATGTTGAATATGTTAGCTAGTTTTATCATACTGCACATCCGCTCTTAATTATTATCAGTCAACGAAATATTGAAGAGAAGTTTCGGAATGATAAAATCATCTTTCATATCGCTCAAACATTATATCAGAGATTGCTGAAGAAAGCATGTTTTCAACTGTTTTTTTAGATAAACAACTTTTATTTCTTTCCCCCGTCCTATGTAAAATATGAAAATAATTTATACTTCGACAAGGTCAGATGTTATTAGCTTGTATATAAATTTAGAATTGAAAAATAAAAAGTTCATAAATGAGAGCAATTTAGATGAAATTCGAATGATAAATGTTCATTCTTTACAGTTGCTTAAACATGATATACATATATCTTAGACTGACATCTGTTTGAAGTATTTCGGTGAATGTCAAACATGGACGTCTGGAACGTCAGCACTGGAAACGCGTTACGGTCGTTTTTACCGCAATGCCGCAGGAATATTTCGCCAAGCGCCAGGTGAAATAGTAACATGTTCTAATTATTTTTACAGAACGTTGCTTATTCCAATTACAGAATGCAATGTGTTGCCACGCGACGTCTGCTTTCGTGAAATCACATTAAAAGATATTGGCGAAACTTTCTATGCTTGGTCATTGTTTATGACCGTTGAAGATCATGAAAATAGAATTCGCTATATTATCTGGAGGATTCACACTTTGATCTCGAGTAATATCGAACTTATCATAGAGTGCGCTTTCAACTACATACTTCGCACTGAAACTTGAAATTGTGCCTTAACTGCTGCACGTTCTTCTTCGAATTAAAAATTCATTACATAGAACATTTTTCACATGACATTTAAATATAGAAATGATGAATTATAGACCCGAGGGAAATATTATATGTTAATAAAAGACACGAAATTTTTCATCAAATTCATCTGTTAATATCAGTTAATATCATCTGTTAATCATTTGCCCCATGGATGAGAATAGCTTTACTTTTTACACTTTTTCGTGGGTAACAAATGAAACGTTACTCTAACAGAAAGCATCGTAGAAATTTGATGAGAGATGCAGATAAATACCTATTGATATCAATGATGGGAAATACTAAATGAAATATGTAACATTAAGCCGTAAAGAGAACCGTACCTTCACTTTGACGCGCACGGCCTCTCTAGGACACCCAAACATGTCTGACGCTGATATGCAAGTTGTTTCGTGCACAGGAAAAAGGACGTTTAATTATTCAGGACAACTCCAAACTCATGAAAATCCGCATCTCTTCGAGGATGTTCTCGCGATACCGAACGGAACTAGACATTTTCGTATTTAACACTGTACAATTTTGTTAGGTTAATTCGTTTCACGCGGTGCACACCAATCCAGCCTGAAGCTTTCACTTCTTTCTGAGAGGAGCATATTCGTCTTGTCAGGACACTACACCACGGTTCCCCAGGAAATCGAAGTTATCGAGCACGCACCAGCTGACACTTGGCGTGAGACCTCTCGAATCATTCACGGTGACAAGGCGGTCTATTCCAACGGCTGCCGATGATAACACGTTTCAGGATGTTAACTATCGAGATCGTTTCGCGCCTTCCTCGATTTTCGACCGCAAATATCTGTCGTCACCGTGACATCGTTAACACATCACGCCACACTCCCGTAGCTCTCGTTTGATCAGTCGAGACTGTTACGTTCGTATTTTCACGAAAACCACTGACACTCGGAAGGGCAGAGGGGAGCTGTTTCGAAACGTGACAAGCGAAACAAAGACGGATAGAAACGCTGAAGAAAATTGGCGTTATGTTCGCGCGAGGAAAAAGACAAAGAGCGAGAATGAGAGGAGCAAGCGTGCTGAAGTGAGCTGCGTCAGTGCTAGGTTGAACTTGCTCGCCGCGTGTATCGATTAATCTCGAACATTGCGGAACACCGCTCGAGCCGCCAACCTGGACGGTCGATCTTTCAACATTCGATGTATTGCTATCGAACTCTCCTTCAAGAGCGAAATACATGCTACACGGCTTGATACGTGAACGTGTATATCTGTCCGACGTTTACTAGTCGAGTGTAAAACAGTCGAAATTCAATTAGAGACTTGTGTTCCGGCGTGATTAATTATTTGCAGGATATTGCTGTTAATTGAAGCAACATCACTCTTGCTGGAAACGTAATTTTGGAAGTACAATGACATAATCTACGATTCCGACGATTCTGCACATTGTGGTTTAACTGGATACTAGAGGATTACATAGAGAAGATTATAGAGGTTAAGGTTACATTTGTTACGCTTCGTGATAAATGCAAAATATAGTACATGTTTTTATGTATTTCTGAAATAAAATATATTTTTATTGAAAAGAAATTCATTGTTTGGTTCGTGAATTTATTGTTCCTCATTATTATTCATCAAAATTTAATAGGGCTAATATTGAGATAATTTTTTCCTCCATTTAGAGAAGCATATAACAATAACTATTTCCAGAAATTTTATATTTTATTCTAAACAATTTATAAATGTATCGATAGTGATTGCAGCGTGTTGCCATCTAGCAATGATAAACTGAATTATTTTACCACAAAAGTTTTTGTGTCGCTCCCAACGTTACCGACTTACCATAGAATAAAATCACAACATTAGTAGTGGTTGGAATTAGAGCGAAACATAACTATGGAATTACAAATAAGAAAGTAACAATAACTGCTTCTTAGTAGATGATTCATAATACGAGTGTGTTTTATTGTTGTCAAAAGATTGTGAACAGATCTACCCACGCAATTCAATGTATTTAGTCGTATTCACTACTAAGGATAACTCGTCCAGGTTATATAGCAATACATAAAATGAGTAAGACAAGGAAAGAAATAGGGGTAGACAAGGACAAAAAAAAAAACAAAAATTCAAAACGAAATTAACGCCATCTCGTGTTTGGCCGCGCTAACTAACGACTCTTTAATAGGATAACAGAATGTAAACAGAGGTATTAGACAAGGAAAGCACTAGTGTGCGAGAAGGACAGAGAAAAATTTTCCTATTGGCTGGCGGGCGCCATAGCTCTACCTCCCACGGGCTAATCAAGTCGGTTAGGGAAAAATCATTAATAACTCAATAATTACGATGATTCTGTGAACTTTTAGAATTGAAGAATCAAGTTTAGACCTTCAGAAACTTTCACATACACTTCTTAGTGCAATAGACCCCTTCAATAATTAGTTATTAACTATTTTATTACGCGATGTCGGGAACGATACCGCGTACTCTCAAGTACCTTTACGGTTTTTCAATAATTTCATAACTTTCCACTAAATTCTCGTGCAACTAACTGTGTGAGTCTGAAAGGTAACTCCTTTGGTTACATTCACATATAATTTTCATTAACATATCTCTAGTAGTTGGATAGTTAATTAACATTCTTTGAGAGAGTATTACACTCGTCGCATTCAATAGTAACACATTTGCGTTATTACACTAGACACGCGTTACTAATTGTGCACTTTTAAGCATGTAGAATGTAGAATGGACTTTTCTTTATATTCTTCAATTATTTTGGCAACCGTAAGTGACGTGGTTTATTAGATATTAGCAATTGTTTATAACAGTTGACTAGACTCGAGTACGACGAGTAGGGGACGCTCCCATATAATGTTTAATTACTCTTGAACTAAATCGAATATGTTAATAAAAATTACATGAGAATACAGCCAAAGGAGTTACCTTTCAGACACATCTACTTGATTGTACGAGAATTTAGCAGAAAGCTATGAAATTATTGAAAAACCGTAAAGGTATTTGAGAGTACGCGGTATCGTTCCCGACATCGCGTAATAAAATTGTTAATAACTGATTATTGAAAGGGTCTAGTGCATTAAAATCTATACGAGAAAGTAGCTAAAGGTCCACTCTTCATTCTTCAATTCTAAACGCTCACAAATTCATTGTGAATAATGAGTTATTAATAATTTTTCCCTGGGCTATGGGAAAGCCTCTATTCATCGTACTCGAGATGTTATAAACAATTGCTAATATCTAGTAAACCACATCACCTACGGTTATAAAAATTATTGGAGAATATAAATAAAAGTCTATTCTACATTCTACATGCTTAAAAGTGCACAATTAGTAACGCATGTCGATTGAAATATCGAAAATACGTTACGCTTGATTGCGGCGGGTGTAATAATCATCTAAAGAATGTTAAATAGCTATCAAACCACAAGGACTATGTTGATAAAAATTGCAGAAGAATGTAGCCACATGTGCTCCCTTGCAGATGCATATGATAATTGTACAGAGAATTAATACTGAACGATGATATTAATGAATAAACGTAAGGGACTTTCGTATCGTTCCCGACAACTCGCACAACAAATATTAATAACTAATTATTTAGAGGACTTAGAACGTTAAAAATTATATGTGAAAGTTGCTGAAGGTCCACATTTGATTCTTCAATTCTAAAAGTTTACAAAATCATCGTAATTATCGAGTTATTAATGATTTTTCACCGACCGACTTGATTTAGCTCGTGGGAGATGGAGCTTGGGTGCTCGCCAGCCAATAGGAAACGTTTTCTCTCTATCCTTCTCGCACACTAGTGCTTTCCTTGTCTAATACCTCTGTTTATATTCTGTTATCCTATTAACGAGCCGTTAGTTCGCGCGGCCAAACACGAGATGGCGTTAGTTTCGTTTTGAATTTTTTTTGTCCTTGTCTAACCCTGTTCCTTTCCTTGTCTAACTCATTTCTCTAATGCTATCCTTGTCTACCGTTATTCGTTTCCTTGTTTCCATTATCTATATTCATATCTATATTCAATTTTCAATTGCTTTAACGTAACTAATAATGTAGATAGTACATTACAGTTGAAAATAAACCAGAAACTTCTTTTTTACTATCTACTCACTACAGAAAATGTTAAAGGAATGAATCATGTATTATAAATATCAATTTTAATCTGCTTAGTACATGCAATTACGCTTTAATTTACAATAAAATATCATTGAAAGCGAACAATTCATAGAATTCTCACTATACTGTAATAAAAAATATCAGAACATAATTTTTCGTTAGCGGACGATTCCACCCTTGCGTGTGTTCTACTACTATCGAGAGATAGTCAAAGTTCTACCCACTCAATCCAATACACGTACAATCCAAACATCTTTACATTTGGATTTAACAAAGGAGGATCTTCAACATCTGTGTAGTTTACCATGTTCGATGATTGGATTGTATATGATTCTTAAACTCACCGGAGAGAGCATAACAAATCCTCTGATTTTTTACACGATCGGTATTTCAGAACGTTGGGCACAAAAATACGTTAAGTTTTAGATCTATCCCGTACGTAGTCTGTGGTTTTGCCTAACCAATATTATCACATGTAAGTCCACCATAGATAAGTTATCGACACAAGATAAGTATTATCTACGATCGATAGTTATAAAAAATATTACTGACATTAATATTACAATACTTTATTACAAATTTGATGATTCTCAAGAATTAATAATTGTTACAATAAAAATAAAGCTATAATTCAGATGCTAGAAGATAACTAGTTAAAAATTTATCATGCCAAATGCATTGCACAATAATTGACAATAAAATAAGTTCTTTTCTTACTACAAAAAGTCATTATACCGTCAGGCACAAATTAAATAGGTATAACCAAACACATACAATAAATAAATAATATTTCTTTATTACAGATTAAAATACATTTACACCAAAACAAAAACATTAAACCTTAAATCTTATTTTTAAAGCACAAATAAACGAAAAAAAAACAGGAAGAAACAAAGATCCAAAATTATCTTCCATAATTTATATACTTTAATTTCAGTCGAAGGTCACTTAGCCTAGAATTGTTTTGACCCTGTCCCCATTATGGTTGCAGATCTTGTGCAAGGGTTTCATTTAATCTCTTGGAAAAATACGAGTAACTCTTCACTACGAATAAAAAAACCAAAAAGAAAAAGAGCAAAAAGAAGAAACGAAACTGCAATGGCGATAACAGCGATAAACCGTTTTAAACAAGGTAGACGACATTGCACCCACGTTCTCGTACCTTTCTCCTTCGAAATTTCACGGCGACCCGGAAGGGAAACAGACAAAAATGCTTCCGAGTGGTCGGTGAAACGGAGGGCAGATAAATATGCAGATTTAAAACGAGAGAATCATGGAAAAACTCGCGTGGGTGACACGAGCGAATAATTTCAGTCAGCGAAATCGATGGAAGTTTCCCATTCAAGTTTTAGTGTACATAAGCTTGCATGTGAACCGGTAACGTGGCCAAATTACCATCTTTATTGTTAATTTATCGTCCAGCCGTATTTTACAGCTTCATACCGT